TCAAATGTGAACTCCAGCCCAGTTCTGCTCTTTTACACAAAGCTATTTCTCTCCTACCTCACAAAACAGCTGTGGACTCTGTGCACTGTCCAGCCCGCCCCAGCTATGCGCTGTGTGGGATGGCTGAGGGAGGAGGTGCACCGGGCCACAGGGCAGAGGGGTGCGAGCTCCTGGAGGGGGCTCTCCTGGCCCCACCTCCACCCCGGATGCCCCCCAGCGGTGGCCTGGGCCAGGCTGCAAGGCAGGTTCCCGCCTGTTCGCATACACGCCTCTCAGATAGGGCTATGGACCCTGAGGGCCACTGGGCACACAGCGTGCAACTCCTTCAATGATCTGAAGCAACATTCTGCTGTGACAGCTTGCTGGAGGCAGGATAGCCCGTGAGCCCTCGGCGGGGGCCGGAGCCCCGGCAGTCGGCCTCGTCTGTCCGCCTGATTACACACAAAAAAATGCATTGTTCTTGCAAATGTCCTGGAAGAGGCAGTAGAATGACCAAGCGCATTATCGCTGGAGGCTGGTGCTCTACCACTTGAGCCACAGCTCCACTTCAGCTTTTCTGGTGGTTAATGGGAGATCCAAGTCTTACAGACTTCATGCCAAGGCTGGCTTTGAACATTGAGCCTTAGACCTCAGCCTTCTGAGGAGCTAGAACCACAGGCATGAGCCACCCCTCCAGTGCCTGGCTCACAACTAAGCTTAAAAACAAGACCAGAGCTGGGGGAGTAGTTCTGTGGCAGAGCACTTCCCAGCATACAGCCCAAGCCCTGGGACCCCATCCCTCAGAATCAGCATCAAAACCAGCACCAACTTGCAAAGGCACTCCTGTGCCTGGGGCAGGGCAGAGTCAGAACAGGATGATCTGGGAAGTTACTGAAGTGGTCCTTTCTTCTCCAGGTACACATCCACGGGAGCCATTTCCCAGCCCCATTCCCACACTTTGTGGCCAGAACAAGAGGCGCAGAGCAGACCACAGGCCCCGGGCTCCTGGGGGAGACTCTGAAGCCCGAGATCTGCAATGCTGCAAGCCAACGCCGTGCTTCTCATGGCTCTGCAATCGTGAGTATTCACACAGACTGGGTTCACTGTTTTGAAAGGAATAAATACTTTCCAAATGTCCAGAGTTCAATTTCTAGTAAGTATTCTGCTGGTTGTTGACACTGGGAGCTGGAAGTTTGCCCAAGCCGTGAGTGCGCGGCCTGACGGGCAGGTGTGCCGCCGCAGTGTGACAGGAGGCCGGCCCACGGTTGGCCAATCCGCATGCCCACCTGCGACTTCCCGGGCGCACTTAGCAGGCTCCAAGGCTAGTCTTCAGCCAGCCCGGCTGGGGTCCCGGTGCGCAGCCGCACGTGTGCTCACGGGGGGTCTCAGTCCACGGGGGTCTCAGTGTGCAGGCTCGGTGGGGGGTCTCAGTCCACGGGGGTCTCAGTGCGCAGGCTCAGGCTCGGGGGTCTCAGTGTTCAGGCTCGTGAGTCTCAGTCCACGGGGGTCTCAGTGCGCAGGCTCAGGGGGGTCTCAGTGTTCAGGCTCGTGAGTCTCAGACCACGGGGGTCTCAGTGTGCAGGCTTGGGAGTCTCATTGTGCAGGCTTGGGGGGGTCTCAGTCCACAGGGGTCTCAGTACGCAGGCTTGTGGGTCTCAGTGCGCAGGCTTGTGGGTCTCAGTGCGCAGGCTTGTGGGTCTCAGTGCGCAGGCTCAGGGGGGTCTGTCTCAGTGTGCAGGCTCGGGGGGGTCTCAGTGTGCAGGCTCGGGGGGGTCTCAGTGCGCAGGTGCTGCACCCAGTCTCAAGCGCTGTGTTTCATAGTTGGGAGGTTAGCCATGGCTTCCCAGGTCTTCAGCTTCATTCTTTCCTCACAAGAATTTAAACATGATTTTGCCCATTTCAAAACAAAAACATATGTTGTCGAGAATATTGGAATTAGGTAAATAAAGTGACTGGGGTTCAGGAGATCATTGGCCAGCATTGCATCTTTCAAGGCAGTGGAGTTTCACTGTCGCTCCTTGGCTTCTGTGGTTAAACGCATCCCTAGATACTCTATTGCTTTAAATCACAGCTCCGTGTGGGCCATCTCTTTATGCCTCATCTTTTTTGGGTGTCATTTGCGAGGCTGAAACTCGGTTCTTGTTGCTTTAGTTATTTTTCACATGGGCCTCACTAACTTTTTGCCCAGATTGTTTTCAGACCACGATCCACATCTGCCTCGGGAGTTGCTGGGACTGTGAGTAATCATACCTGGCTTCATTTTCATTTTCAGTATGAATAAACTGGCTTAAAGAGCTCTTGTTTTTTTGTATACTTGGTTTTCTAGGCCTATAAAAACATAATCTGAAAACAAGGGAATTTTGTCTCTTCCTTTCATCTTTAATCCTGATTTTTAATTTTTTTTTACTTATCAATACATTTGTTTAAATATCAAAACAACATGAAATAATAAGGTAGAAGCGAGCACAGTTGCCTGGCTCCTGATTTTAGTTGTCAGTGTTGATATGCCATCTGTGGAAGCCTTATCAAGTCTCTCAGCATTTACTCAGAGTCACTTTTCTCCTTAAATGGACCGGCCACGGAGGGACGAATCACAGTCATCAGCACAAGGGGACATCACCCACCACATGTGTTTTGATGGCTGAGTCTCACCTGGCCTTAGATTCCATTCCACCACAGAAAGGGGGGGTCCACCCCCAGTGTGAGCTGACACCCCAAGGACACAGGCAGAAGGTTCTAGCACCCAGAAAGGCCTAAAGATGTCACCACACAACTGAGAACCTGCCTGTCACCTCCCCAGGCCTCTGGGCTCCCCGCCCAGCCCTGTCATTCCTCCTGCAGCCTGGGACCTGGCCTCCCGCTGAGATGCGGGCACTTCCAGGTCAATCAGCCTCAGCGGTTAGAAGCCGGGGACAGACAGGTTACTGGGCACCCCCAGCTAGCACCCCAAATTAAGAGAATTTTTTTTTGGTCAGTTGGGGGGCTCGAACTTGGGCACTATCCCTCAGCTCTTCAGCTCAAGGCAAGCACTCTACCACTTGAGCCACAGCACCACTGTCCAGTTTTCTAGTGGTTTATTGGAGATAAGAGTCTCATGGACTTTCCTGCCTGGGCTGGCTTTGAAGTGTAATCCTCAGATCTCAGCCTCCTGAGTAGCTAGGATGACAGGTGTGAGCCACCAGCGCCCGGCTCAAAAGAATTCTTAAGAGTGGTTTACCTGAGCTACAAGCAGACTTCCCCAATACTACAAATGTCGGAATCCTCCATCGTTCCGGGGTCACCCCACTACTGTTCAGGAGGGAGTCCACAGTGCCCAAGGCTTGCTGGCGAGGGGCACAGATGTGTCAGGGTAGCTAGAAACCAGAGGCGGGGCCGCGGCCTCCACAGCAGCGGGGCCACGCGCTCCGGGACCCGAGCGGCCTGCTGCCTCCAGCAGGGCCATCTCTGGCCACAGCACTCGGGGGCGGGACAGTCCTGACCACCAGGGGCTAGAGGATCAAGCGGACCCTGTGTATTGCTGCCTCTGGGCTGCACGCAGCGCCCCGCCCCGCCCCCAGCCTCCGCACACGGGGCACCACAGTCCCACGCCTGGCAGAGCCCCCAGCCACTCTCCTGCAAGTGGTGTGAGTGACCGTCCACGGGGGTTTACACAACACTCATCCCAGCAGCAGGAAGGGGAAACATGGCCCCACACCGCCGGCGTGCTGACCCGCCCGGACCCACCGTCCAGGGCACCAGTCAAGCTGGACTCCATTCATGGGACGTGCCCAGTCCCAGCCTCTCATGCGGCTCCGGTGACAAAAGCCAAGCCCTGGCCAGCGACAGGGTGAACCCAGCTGGGGGCTCTCAGGACTCTCCCAGCCGAGGACAAGCGAGGGGCCGCGGGATGCACAGCCACTGCCGCTGGGGCAAACCCAGCAAAGCTCCTCACCGGAAGGCCACACCCAACGTACACCAGGTGAGAACAGAATCACACACTGGGGGGCAGCAGGGGTCCAGAAGGGAAGCGGGGGGGGGGGGGGGAGGGGAGGATGGAAGGAGTAGGGTTGAGCAAGATGCAGTGTACGACTCATCACCTGACGTGGGCAACTGAAACTTCCTTTTACAGCTACATAGTAACCACTTTTTCACAGGGTCTGTCTCTCCTCCTGCCTGCAGGCATGCGGCCCTGGGTGCCGGCCGCGGGTGGCAGCCCCCTTGCTGCTCCTGGGCCTTGCCCGGTGTCCTTCGGCTTTGCGGGTGTTTGCAGTGGCTGTTCCCTGAGTGCGCTGCTCTTCCCAGCTCCACATCTGGCTGCATCTTCCCTCCGGCAGATTCCCCACGTCACCCAGCATGTAGCACGGTCTGCTATGGTTTCTGCTCCACTGAGGGGAGTCTCAGGCCAGGAACTGTGTCCATCTCTGGGGCCGGAGGATTCAGGTGTGCGGCAGCAGGTGGCGTGCCACTGGCACTGGCACTACCCCTCGGGGAGGTGGTGGGACCGGCTGCAGTGCCAAGGGCCCCCAGAAGGCAGCAGGGGCCTGTGGGGGGGTGCCAAGACAGAGGCGATGTTAGGGCAGATGCAGCGGGCCCTGGGTGGGGGGACACGGGTGCCCCCTTCGGCAGAGTGTGTTCCTGGATGCCAACCTGTGTCCACTCACAGGCTGACGCTGCCCCTTGGCACAGATGCAGCCACTAGGCTTCCGGCTGTGCTGGTAGGACACATTCACCATCCGAAGCTCCCAGTCCCCGTGCCGTGACTCTGGTGACGAGCAGGCTGCAGAACACTCTGACAAGGAGTGATCCTGGAGCCCTTGGCCCGGGCCTGAGGAAGGGCGTTCATGCTGGAGCTGGGACCCTGGCTCCCAGGGCCTGATGGGTCCTCACAGAGCCCCTGGGAGGGGCATTTGTACGAGGAGCAGCCCGTGAGGCCTGCTGCGGCTGGCCATCTCTCGGGGCCCTGCCTGGGAGAGCGGGCGCTGTGCCCAGTGAGCCAGATGATGGGCTGCAGGTGCCCGCCGCTGCCACCGCCGCCGCCAGGCCTAGACGTTGGACTTGGCGATGATCTTCTCGAGCAGGCTCATCATGCGCTCCTGCAGCTGCAGACTCTGCACCTGCAGGATGTTCTGCTGGTCCAGCACGCGGCGCACCTCGCGGCACGTCTCCTCCATGGCACGGCTCAGCCGGCGCTGCTCCTCCAGCATGGCCTCCAGGAGCCGCAGCTTCTTCCTCTGCAGGTGGCAGCTCTGCACCTTGCGCTTCTTCACCGGCCGCTCCTCTGACCTGTGGGGCCAGGACAGCAGCGGCTGTGGAGCGCGGCTCACAGCCTGGGGCACCCGGGGCCTCGTGATGCCCCCTTCCCCCCCTCCCCTTTCACTCTGCTGACCCGATGAGGCCCTGGAGCCAGGCCCTGCCCCGACAGGAAGCAGGCAGCGGGGTCTGGGCACTGCTGACCCAGGGACAGTCCACATCCTGCGCTCTGGGGGCACAAAGAGGCACAGTGGCCCGAGATGCCCCAGCCCCTGGGCTTGGGGGGGCCTGGCCTCAGCAGACTCGGGATGGACAGGCCAGCCCGGGACACGGGGGCAGCTGTGTGTGTGGCGCTTGGTGCTCCCCGGGGAGGCCCGGCCCAGCGAGGCCCAGCCAGCCTTGGGCAGATGAGGAAACAGGCGCTGGGAGGAAGGGCCTGGGATCCCTGCAGCTGGTGATGGGACCAGGAGGCCTGGGGGGGGACACACAGGCCGCAGGGCTCCTCCCCGGGCCCTGAGCTCCAGCAGAAGTGGGAGGTGGAGGAGTGCGGGCCGGCTCCTGTGGAGCCCTCAGCTGGAGTGGCAGGCGTCCGGTGACCCACGCCGCCCGCCCACCCGCCCGCGGTCTCTGTGCTGTGTTCTGAGCCGAGTGGGGCAGCCCGCCTAGGGATTGGGGGTGGGACAGTGGCGCCCACCCCAGCTCTGCCTGTGCCTCGGGCAGCTGAGCCTGGGAACCCAACTCAGCCATCCACAGAACAATTGGCCATAAATCCCTCTCCGTTTGCGTCTGGGCCCTTCCGTGAGAAGTCTCCAGCGGGAGGCAACGGGCCGTGGCATGTCAGCCGAGGGTCCCCCGACACGGACGCCTCCCTCACCCCGGCTCCCCAGACCTGAAGATCGTGACTCAAAGCCAGACTCTTCCCAGTCTCCTCAAAACTCGTCCACTCCTATTTAGCGTGAAGGCCCGCTGTGTGTTCCTGCCTCGGAAGCGCCTGCTAAGCTGGCTGGCCAGCCCTCGCCCCCAGGGTGCCTCTCGTGCACGCGCTCTGGCTCTCCGCTGCCCCCTGAACACCTGATAGGCACGGGCGGGGGGGGGGACCAAGTGTGGGAAGATGGGGTGGGGGCGCCGCCGCTCTGGAGGTGCAGCCCAGGCCCTCCTCCATGCTGTGGAGGGAGGGGAAGGCCCGGGCAGGCCCCAGGGGGCGGGCGGGCTGGAAGTTGTCAGCCACCCTCTGGGGAAATACTGGTTCATCCCCACCTAACAGAAGGGAGACTGAGGCAGAGAGGTCAAGGAACTTTCCATGCAGCTAAGGAGCCCCGTGGGCCTGGGGGCACTAAAGCCCGGGCGGGCGGGCGGGCGGGCGGGGCACCCGGGTGGCGAGAAGAAGAAAGACACACTACCTGAACTTAAGGGACAGTAAGCTGGAGGAGCTGTCGGAGCCATCGTCCTCAAAGCGGCCTTCGTAGGAGCACTGGGTATACGGTAAGTACAGAGGGGTAGACTTAGCGGACGGCGACAGAGACGCCTCGGTCTGGGATGTGGAGGGCCCCGGCTGCTGGCCATCCGGAAGTTTGCCCTCACAGGACTCGGGGACCTTGGCCAGAATCCTATCAATGGCTAGGTAATAGGGCCAGTCCGGTGGGACGGACTCGCTATCTGTCATGCATTTTAATTTCCTGAAACGAGAGACACAAGAGCCAAGGGTGAGAAACAGCTAGTGCAGCCCGTCCCGCCTGGCCCCTCGGCAGAGGGGTCGCCAGGGCTCCAGGACCCCAGGTGAGGTGTGTGCCAGCACGGCAGGAGCCTCCACAGCCAGCTCGGGGGCCCGGGACAGCAAGATGGGGGTAGGGGGCACTGGGACCTGAGCAGCCTCCTATTAGCAAGGCAACACAGCCGACAGAAGGGCGCCTTCGGGGCAGGGACCCGCTGCTTTCGGGTTCTAGATGCTGCAGTGCTTCGGGGCAGGGACCCGCTGCTTTCGGGTTCTAGATGCTGCAGTGCGTGCACACCGCTTTTCACATAGGTGTACCAGCAGTGATGAATGCCGTGACTAGATGGTGTATTATACACAGGGTCAGAAGGCATTGTAACAAAACCGAATCGCAGGAGCACAGGCCACAGTGTCCACAGCACGGAGGCTGAATCTGGTCCACGCTACTTTGTTGTATGACCTTGGGCAGGTTCATTAACCTCTCTGAGCCTCCACTTTCACATCATTAAAATGGGGATGAAAGAGTAAGCCCCTCACAAGATGGATTTCATCCGTGCTCAGCGCCTAGCCAAGAGCACGCTAATTTCAGTGTTGCTGCTGGCTGAGCCTACCGGGAGCCGCCCGGGGTCCTGACCTGCTGCTGTGACCCCATCGGCCTGGGCAGGACCCAGCTCCCGACCGCAAATTGGACATCCGGGCACACACCCCATGCTTCGCTCTACCCCGGCCCCCTGCCAGCAGTCAGCACAGTGCATTTGTGCCCGGGATGGGCCAAGGCCCAGGCCTGCACCCCACCCTCCCTGCACAGGAAGGGAAGCCTCAGGGTGGCTGGTTGTGAGGCCACAAGCCAGGGTGGGTGGGGACCTCTGCCTAACAGACGGGGTCTCCCAGTGCCTGCCAGTGCTCTCTCCTAGGAGAGAGCTGAGGGCAGGCCGGGCCCACCTGTCTCCAGGGCCAGATCCTGCATGGACAGCTGCCAGCAAACAGGCACAGCGGAGGAGCAGGACCGCTGCCTCCACCAGGCACAGGCGGAGGGGCTGGCTGTGGGGAGCCGGCGAGGCCCGGGGCTCCTCCCACCACGTGGACGAGTCCACGGCGCAGCAGCTGTACTCCTGACAGTGGAGGTGCTGTCCAACCACCCTGGGAAGGGCGTGGGTGAACCTCACACCTGGCATTCCACCAGCCCCCCACCCCCGTTCCTCCACAGCCGCCCCTCCTCCTCCTCCCCCACCTCTGCTGGCCACCCCGTCATCTTCAGCACCGAGGCCCAAGTGGTGTCCAAGAAACTATGTCCCATGATGACTTCCTATACAAAGAGTTCTGGAAGAAAAAGAAATACTGCAGTGGAGAGGCTGGGATAGAAACTGTTCACCCAATCACAGCGTCATCTTATTAAGACGCTCTTAAGAAGGTCTGTGTGGCAAGACCCTCTCCCTATCTGGGCCTCAGTTTCCCCCTTGGTAAACACGGCTGATAGAAGTGTGTGCACGCCTAGACCACAGTGGCTGCTGAACCCCGTCCCCGGGGCCTCCTGGGCTCTCAGACTCCATCTCCAGGGCTGGAGACAGAATCCCTCCCCTGGGACTCTGAAGGCTTTCTGGATAAATAATGAATAACTCAGCCAGGCGCCAACTGGAGCATGCCCAGGCCACCACTGAGGAACTGAGTTAGAAGGGAGGTGGGGAAATGGTGCAGGCCGATCCTTACTGGGTGCTGGGGCTGGGGCCCAGACGACAGGGAGCCAGGCAGAGCAGCGCCAGGCAGCCGTCCCCACGTGCCTGTCCATCGCTGGACAGCAGCCGTGCCCCCAGCCCTCACGCCACCCACGGAAGGTTCAAGTTAATGGCAGTTCTGCTCAGTAGCTCCTGTCAGGCTGACCAGGGGAGGGCGCGGGCAGCGTGAGGGTCAGAGTCAGACGATACAGACAGGCTCCAGAACCCTCCTCAAATCAACACACGTGGAAATGGGGCCTCAAGGACTTTCCAGGCCCCAGGAGACCCTGCCTGGCTCCGAGGAGGCCGGGCCCTGAGCAGGGACTCCCCTCCTGCCTTGTCCGCCCCCCCCTGGGCTGGCGTCTCCCTGAGAGGGGTGTGGAGCTCCTTCCTCTGTGGCCATGCTCTCAGGCAAGTGTCCACACAGAACCTTGTGAGGCCCGGGGTGGCGCCTGCCGGCTGGGGACCCAAGGCCTCTGAGCAGCCTGGACAGGCCTCGCGTGGGCCCAGTGCTGTCTGCCTTCAGCTCCTACCCAGTGCCTCACTTCTACACCATGACCTTCAACCCTCCTGTAACCTTCACCCCATGCCCGCCGTTCATAACCCTGACCATCCACAACCCCTAACCTGCCTATGATCCCTTCTGGATGGGCCGGCCGTGCATGGGGTCACCATGCTGGTGGCAGAGGGGCCCTGGGCACACAGGCCCCTGCTGTCGGGGGGAGGGGGGGACAGCTGTCTTGGCACGAGCCACAGGAAAAGTTAAGGGAAGGTCTAGAGATCCCCAAACCAGGAGTCCCCAGGGACAGAGCCAGCCTCTACCCCTGAGCTGGGCATGGGGTCAGCCCCCAGTGCTCCCTTCACCCACCCTGGGCCTAGCTCAGATGCTGTTCAAAGTTCCAGACCGGGCCAGCCAGGCCTGGGAGCCGAGCTTTCTCCCTCTGGCCTCGCTCTGCCTATCTCTACGGGGGCCTGATGCTGCTGAACTCAGGGACCGTGGTGGGCAGGGCCCAGCCTGGCTGGCGGCCTGCAGCTCCCGCCTGGGCAATGTTACCCCCTGAGGCGTTGTATGGGAAAGGGCACCATCTCGGTCACAGCAAGCATCAGCCCCAGACCCAGGAAGACGGCAGCCACCCAGCACTCCCACCCGGGAGTTCCTGACCAGGCTCCTGCTCTTGCTGGGCCTCCGTTTGCCGGCCTCTCCAAGGGCAGGCCGCACACACGGTCAGACGAGGCCACCTCACCCATGGACCCCTGGTGAGCCGGGGTCCGAGGTGGCCAGGAGCAGGCAAGCGCAGCCTTCTCCTGCCGCTGTCCCTCACCCACCTGTACTGGAAGGTCATGTTGGTGATTTTGATCTTGATCTCTTCGCCCAGACGGCGCTCGCCGGTCATCTCGAAGAGCTTACTGGCCATCTTCTCATATACCTTGGCGTTGCGCTTCGTCTGTTTGAGCTCCTCGAAGAACTCCTCCCAGACGAGCATGAGGCCACGCATCTCGGCGTCCGTCCAGTTGCGGGCCCGCCGGTGCTTCTCCGTCGGAGGAGACACAAGGTAGCTGGGCACGTCGGCGGCCGCCATGCTGGAGGCCCCTGAGGGGTGGAGGACAGTGCTCAGGCGAGGCCCCAGGCCCGGCCAGCGCACCATGGGCGCAGGCAGTGCGCTTGCTCCCTCGCTCGCTCGCTCGAGGCAGCTCCACGCTCAAAATGGGGCCTACATCTGACAGGCAGGAATTTAGTTAAAAGCTTTTAAACGGGAAACGTCATTTTGATGTCACGTTTCCATAGCAACAGAGCAAAGGCATAAGCTACAACAACAGAAACCTTTTAACTGAAAGCACAGGAATCAGGGCCGCACTGACGGGCCATCAATATTGCAGGAACCGGCCGGCCCAACCTGCAGCCCAGCCCCTCTTCCTCTCACCTGGCCGGTCCTTGGGCCTCGCAGGCCCTGGGGCAGCCGCTCCGTGGGCCCAGCAGGCTTCCCTGAGGCCTCGTGACCCCCCACGTCACATCTCACCTCACCTGGCTCACGCAGGCCAGGGAGCTGGGACAGGACAAGCGGAGCCAAGAGAGGATGGGCAGATTGGTCCACTGAGGAGCCTATGGCTGCTCTGACGAGGGGGCTGCTAGTGCTGTGGGGTCCCTCACTCTTCCCAGAAGACCCCCTCAGGCCACTCTGATAGCACGAACCCTTAAGGCCCTGCCCCCCTCATTGGCCCCACCCACCGAGCACCCTGAGCCTCAGGTCATGTGCATACAGGGAACCAGGCTAGCCAGAGCCTGGCCCTGGCCCTGTAAGCAGTTCAGGCCAGCGGGGGGCCGAGTCCTCCCCTGGGGCACAGGCAGGGGCAGGAGCCCTGCACTGGTGGTGGAAACAAGCACCGTGCGGAGATGAGGAAGAGCCCTCGGGAAAACTGGGAAAAGCCTAAGAAAACTCATGGGAAGCGCTGGACACCCTGGCAGTACACTAGGGCCAGGTGGGGCGTGCAGGGAGCTCCTGAAGAGCCACGACCACAAGGCTGTGCAGGGGACACAGCGCCCAAGGTGGACCGAGGGCCAGGCTGGGCACGGGATGCCTGCCTCTGCAGGGCTGGGCAAGGCCTGCACCCCAGGCGTCCGTGGGAGCCAGGCCCGCAGGAGTGCGGCGTGGAGGGTCTTCCAAGGGGAAGGCTTGCTTCAGGGCATCCATAGCCAACACTTATTTTTTGCCAGTCTGGAGCTTGAACTCAGGGCCTGGGCACGGTCCTTGTGCCTCTCTGTGCTCAAGGCTGGCGCTCTACCACTTGAGCCCAGCACTACTTCTGGCTTTTTCTGTTTATGTGGTGCTGAGGAATCAAACCCAGAGCTTCATGCATGCTAGGTAAGCAGTCTACCACTGAGGCACATTTCCAGCCATGTCTAACATTCAAAAGGTAAAATTCAAACAAGAGTCCATGGAGCCCAAGGCCCCAGTGGGCCAGTACACCACCGACATGCCTGCTAAAGCCCATGTCCCCCCCCCCCCCCCGTTCAGCAAGGGAACGGCGAGCACCTGTCCGTCTTGGACTTGATCAAAGGGAGGAGGAGCTGCGCCCTTGGAGAAAAGGGCACATGGGGCCCATAAGCAGCGGCAGCCGACCCAGGAGCTGCTCAGCCCGGCTGCAGCATGTGGCGTGGGGAGGAAGCCTCATGGAAGTGTCGGGGGGACAGCAGGCGTCCGTGGCAGCCCCTGGAGGCTCACTGGCCTTGCCATTCACCCCCACGCCTGGTGGCGCCCCTTCCTCTGGCTCTGGGGGAAGGGACTCGGGGATATGTACCCACCACCCAGGCACGCACGCCCCTCCAGATGCTCCCGGCTGCTGTACTTAGGGCGCTTGTGATGGCCCCCTTGATTCCACTGTGCACTGGCCTGCCAGCTCCCGGCCGCCCTCTAGTGTCCAGTGTGGGGCCTGGGCCTGACTCTCTGAGCTCGGAGGACCGTGTGCAGGGTGCTTAGAGGACCCCTTTCTCCAGAAAGCCCCTGCTCCTGGCACGGGAGTGGACGCTGCAGAGGGAGGCTGGGGACCGGCCCCCTAGCCTTCGCAGTCATGTGGAAGTGGCCCCCGCACGCACGGAGAGACAAACAGCTTTGGAGTCCAGCCTCACCACAGCCCCTAGCCTCAGCATGGGGACCACAGGGCTGAGGGGGACCACCAACCCCCAGCACAGCTCCTCCAGCATCTTGGGGGGAGCCATGGGGCCCCTTCGGCCCCACCCAACCCCTTCCACAAATCCTCTCAGGGCTTGAGCTGGCATGAGGCCCTGGCTGGGGACAGCTGCCGACGGTGGACGGCACTACTGGCGCTTGGGTTCCTGCAGCCGGATGTTCCTAAAGGAGGCACCAGTACCCCTGCCTGCCCGAGTTTGGTGGCAGCGTGACCAGCAAGGGCCGCCCCATGCCCCCTCCCAACCCCAGCAGCACCTGCAGAGGTGTGGCTAGGTTCCTACCTTCTCTTCTCAGCGTTGGGGTACACTGGAGCCTTAGAACAGGGTGGGGGCTCCTCTTAAGCAGAGCCTTCACCTGGGCCTCCAACAACAGGACCATACTGGATTGGCCAAGCCAGTACCCCCGCCTAGGGACATGTGCCTGTCCCAAAGGGTGCCCTCCATACCTTGGCACAGCTGCATGGCCTGCTGGGACCTCAGTCGCTGTGGGACGGGCCCAGGGTGGGTGCCCGGCAGCACCTGCAGGGAGAGGGAGCAGTCAGCCCAGAGTGGGAGCCAAGGCCCGGGGCCGGGCGGACTTGCTGTGTTCTTGGGGTCTCAGTGCTCCCTCAATCACGAGGCTTAGCCCAACGCGGCCCAGCTCACTCAGCACTTGTGGCACCTGCTCTGCCTGGGCCGGGCCAGGCTCAGGAGCACAAGGCCCAGGACAGAACATGGACAGCACGCCGGGTGCCAGGCGCATTCTGGAGCAGGCGGCTTTCCGCCAAGCCTGGGCTCAGGGGAGGAATTTGGAGGCTGGAGAACAATCTGGAAGGCCTGGAAGCACGCATGTACCAGTGCGTGTGCCAACGTGTACACACATACCTGTGCATGTGTGTCAACACGTGTACACACACACCTGTCAGAGTGAATAAGTGAGCAATGGCCAGAGGTAGCAGGGCCAAGTCCAGGTGACCTAGAACAGCTCAGAAACTAGAACTGCATGGGAGAGGCAAACCACCCCTGGGGGGCTGAGAAGGGTCCTGGGTGGACAGCAGGGGACTTGGGGGTCTAGCTCGTACGCGGGGGGCTGCTATCCTTCTGACCCAAGACCCCAAACTTTTAGCCCTGCCTTGGCTGACAGGCTGCCCTGACCCACTGGTCACACGGGTCCGCATGGCCCGAACACCTGCTCTGCAGGAAGCACAGGCCGGCAGTCCTGACGCGGGAGTGCCGCGGGCCTGCAGCTTCAGGAAGGTGGCCACTCCAGCGCTGGGCTCGCTCTGGTCCAGGTCCCTGGAGAATTCCTTGGTGCCTCACTGCGCTGCCTGAGAGCCTTTCAAATCCGGTAACCAGTGCTCCTGGCAGCTCCAAGACACCCAGAGCTGGTGTGGGCACTCACCTCACACTGGCGGCCACCCTCACCCCATGCGGTTAGGTGCTTCCTTTGGGAAGGTGCTTCAGAATGATTTCAGAAGGAAGACATAAACAAAAGCCGCTGCCGGCAGGAGTGTCCGTCCCAGGGGGTGGTGGGAGAAGAGGGGCCTAGCCACCTGCCTCCAAGCCCCCCCCCCACGAGCTCCCCTAGGTGGGCAGACAGGGCCCGCTCTGGCCCTGTGTGGCTGTTGGAGCCAGTGGGGCACGCTGCCAGCCTACACCAGGGGGCCTGCCCCTCTCTCATCCAGTTGGCTCCATTCAGCAGGCGTGTCAAAGGTCTGCTGTCCACGCCTGAACCAGGGCGAGGGGGTGCTTTGTTCCACTAGTGATCTGAGCTCAGCCGCTGGGGGTCCAGGAGTTTAGTGACCTCCCGCCTGCCCCCCATCAAATGCACATGTGGTAGGGCCACTGACAGGGAGAGGATGGGATGCTTAGATCACAGCCTGGACCTCACAGAACCTGAGGAGGCTGCAGGCCTCTCCTGGCCTCACCCACAGGGCCAGCGCCTCTGGGGAACCGTGACATCTCCCTCCAGTTAGCTGCAAACAGCAGGCATTCAGCAAGTGCACACCGAATACAGGGCCCGAGGCTACGACCCTGAGCACCAAGCTCCGGGGAGGGGCCGAGGAAGGCACCAAGATGAACAGAGCATCTGGACAGGAAGGACCTACAAGCTGCAAGGGATAGGGCAGGCACAGTGGCCAGCACAGGCTGAAGGTGGGAAGGCCAGTGTTGGGGGTGGGGATGGGGTGGGTCAGGTACACGGGGGGGGGGGGCCCAGTGGTTAGGGAGGGGATCAGAGAGGCCATACAGGGCCTCCAAAGCCAACCCTGTGCTGTGTCCAGAGCCTGGGAGCCATCGTGGAGGCAGAAACAAGGCCATAGCCAAGGCCTGGCCCAGTGAGCTTCCAATGTCATCAGAGCTCTGCCAGTGCCATCTGCCAGAGACGGAGGCAGAGGCAGCCCCCTGGCCCGGCCAGGCCCAGGCTCCTGCCTTCATCACTGCCCCTGCAGTGGCTGGGCGAGGTGTCCAAGCAAAGCACGCCTCACACAGTACCACAGCGGCGAGGTGTCCGAGCAAAGCACGCCTCACACAGTACCACTGGTGATTAATTGTTCCTTTAATTTGTCTGTACAGTGTCTGCAGCAGTTAAAAAAAAACCAACTAAATATACATCTCTTGTCAGTCCTTCCTCTTGGAAGTGGACAGCCAGGCCTGGGCTCCGGGACTCGCCCATCACGGCCCTGCTGACTCCGGGGAGCCAATGGCCTGCTCCCGGCTCTGCTGCCCGTGCGTGCGTGCGCGCGCTCGTGCACGGCTCACAGCGGCAGTGCACACGGGGCCTCCACCATGGCCACAGCTCGGCGGGCAGGTCCCCAGCACCACGACGCCCAGCCAGCTCGCAGCACAACTTTGTCCCCACACGCCCAAGTGTGTCAGGCCCTGCCTGGCCCTTCTAGGCCCCCTTCAGTTGTCACAAGTCTGTTTGGGCAGCTTCCGCCCGGCCTCAACAGCTCTCCGTGTCTTCCGCACTGACCCTGGGCGGCTCGAGGACGCCGAGTATGGGCAGTGCCGGCGACAGTCCCAGTAGGGAGAGACTGAAGTCCGCGCGGGGATGTCTGCCAGGAGGAGGCTTGTAGGTGGCAAGAAGAAAGTACCTTCCACCTCCACAAACAACTGGCTAGTCCCAGACCGCCAGGTGGCCACGAGCCAAGGTATTGCTGTGTAAGACCCAGCCCAGCCGGGCTCCGTGGTGGGCAGGCACCGGAGGCTCCCCAAGAAGTCCCTTTGTGCCTTCCGGTGCCTTCCCTCCTGAGGGGTGCAGGCAGAAACAAGAGCAAGAAAGGACACTTGACAGCTGGGAAGTCACCTACATAGGCCAGTAGAGCCAGCAGAGAAAGGGAGGCACATTTTTGGAGAAGAAACATGCTTAAGTGCATTGCCAGATAATTCTACCCTGGTTTCAGTAAAATCTTTCCTGATAGTACCAGCAGGAAACAAAAATAACCTTACCTCCCCACACACACAAAAAAACTGACCACCAAAAGCGGTATTTTCAGTGAAATTTCAGAATCCATACATTTGGAGGAACTTGATAAAGTCTCGGGTCCTTCTGCGGAGTTGACCAGATGACGCCGCTTCCCGCGGGCTCCCTGGCGGCAGGCCCCTTCTCTTGAGTTCCGCTCCTCAGGTGCTTGGGTCACCCAGCCAACGTTCCATGGCGGATCTCAGTTCAGTGCCAGGAACCACACAGGTGCATCCAGAGGCCTGGCACATCTGTCTTCAAGTGTGTGTGTGTGTATACAAATAGATTCGTGTGTGCATGCACATGCGCACACCTTACACGATTAGACATGGGAACTCATGTACATCTCTGGAACACAGAGCAGGTCTTTGGGTTGACGTCCCCACCAAGAAGGGCTATCAGAGCCAACAGAACCACGCCGAGCCCAGGACAGGACCCCGAAGGGCACGGCTCCACACTGTGCACTCACAGGGTTATTTCTCACATGTAAGCACACAGCCAGGAGCAGCATCTGGCCTGTTGGAACAAGCTGGGTGTGGGGCGGTAGTCCACAAACACTCCCAGCAAGCATTCATGGGGAAAGCTGGGATGAGAAGCAGGAGTCCTGGAAAAGCGAGAGAGCTGGTGACCTCCTTACTTCTCACTAAAACCTGCAAGGTCCTCCTCAAACTCAGAGCCTATTCTCTGCTCAGGCCAGCTTGGGAGGCCCCTGCCGGGACTGGCAAAAGACTCAGCAGTGGGGCTGCAGTGGGGACCCCCTCCCTGTGCCCCCCCCATGAGCACAGTGGGCAACTCTGCATTCTGGCTGTCCCCACCTCCCCTCTCCCCCCAAGGGAGCGCGAGGGTCTTGGGCAGTTGATTCATTGACAAGACTGACAAGCAGTGAACTAAAAGCTCCCTCCTTTGGAAAACAGAACTGAATCATCATGCACCAAGGTAAACCCACTGGGGTAACTAGCGCACAGGTCACCAACCATGCAGGCCAGCCTCCAGGGAGCAGGGAGGCAGTGACTGCCCTACCACCAAGTCAGACAGCAAGCAGAACTTCCAAATCAAGCCAAGAAATCAGAGCAAGCCTTTCTGTCCTGGGTTCATCTTCATTTCCATGGGCACTCCAGGGAGCTCCGACGGGCTCGCAGAGCGGTCCCTGAGCGGAGCTCAGCTGCCACACAGCCCTCCTCCCTGTCTGAGAGGGAGCCCCTTTGTGGGCTCTGGGTAGGCGCAGAGCTGGGAAAGGAAGGGAAAGAGGAGGAGTTGGGAGTTCACCCTTACCACTTACTGGAACACTATGCTTTGTTCTTGACTAACAGAAGCCTAGGCAAAGTAGAGCACAGTGACCCCCTGGGGCTGCCGATCAGGTACCTATTTGGACCCACTGTGCAGAACAGGCAAGGGATGGTGTATTCAACACTGCTGGCCAGCTCCATGGAGACCACCACCTGGAGTCAACTCAGAACTAGTTATCAGAACCAACATTTCTGGGCGCTAGAGACCGCTCACGGCCGCCCTTCCTGACAGCGAGAGGAGCGCTGCAGTGTGCGCAGGCCCGGGCGGCGGACGGCGGCTCCTCGCCGCCCCTGGAGCCAGCCCGAGGAAGGCTTTCTGCTGTGGGCACCCGACGGCAACCTCTGTCTACATTCTAAGTAAATGTGAATGCATAAAAAAGGGAGATGTGCCACCAAGTATTAGGACGCTACAGGAGGCACCGGCTGAGCGGACGGAGCAGCTGGAGGGGGCGTGGCAGCCTGGGGCCCTCCCACCTCCAGGGACGTGATCACATGCAGCACAGGCCTTGCAAATCACACACTTTACATAGGAAGAGTTACATTTAAAATTAATCTCTTTACTTACAGATAATTAAGTTTTAAGTCCTGAGAACAACAGAGAACGGGAGACAGGCGCTAGGCGCCCGGCACCCCAGCCCCAGCTGGCTGCACACCACAGCGTCTGTGTGCGGACACCGGTGCACCAGGCGTACCCTGTTCGGGAGACACGAACGTGTGCCAGCCCACAGGGCTGGTGGGAGTCTGCCTGCGGGACAGGAGGGCTCAGAGCCAAGACTCCTGCCCCAGGGCAGCTGCCGCCTGGTGAGCACTCGAAGGACGCACACCCCACTGGCTGAGACTGGCACCAGAGACAGTAGGGCCAGGACGCAGGACGCAAGCTCCACCCCCAACACGCACATTCCCTGCATGGCTGCTGCCGCCGCTGCAGAGCACTGCTGCTATGAGTTATCCCACACTGCTAGCTGCCCCCCAACAATGCAAGCAGAAGCCTGTGGTGGTCCAGGCAGCCACAGGTGAGGCAGGCGTGTGCTTGCACGCTCGGCCCAGGCTCCCGGGCTCTGGCTCCTGCAGCTACTAAGCCTTCCTGCCACAGGTGCTCAGCAGGCGGTGACCTTATGGACATTTCGCAAGCACGTAAGTAGCCGATGATACGGGCCTCCTGGTGTGGCAACCACTTCAAACACAGACTGGAAGGCCCTGCGATCAAACTCCTCCTCTATCTGGTGTCTGTAGAAGTCTGTGGCAACCAGGCAGAAAAGGTTCACATCCACCTGCTCCAGCTTGCCCATCCTGCTGATGAGGTGCGGAAGGCTGGTAAGGAGTCAAGGGAGAATGCTGGCAAGGGTGGGGAGGGGCTCCCTGGGGAGCCCTGCGCACAGGCTGGCGGGCTGCAGGAACACCAGCACCTATGCCCCTCTCCCTGCAGCCCAGCTCTCCCACGCGGCAGCACTTACCTGACACAGTGCTGGTAGCTGGGACCCCCAAGTCCCGGCTCAATGCAGGGAAGGCCGCGTGTGGCTGCTGGCTGGGTCTGGCCAGCACAAGGGAAGGCAGGGCTGAGCTGTCGGCACTGCCGCAGCCACTCTGAGCAGAGCCTCTTGTGGTCTGTTGAGGGGAGGGGTACTAAGCCGGCAACTCCTAGCTGGCAGCACTGTGGGGCAGGAGCTGGCTCTTCACTGAGGACTTTCCCTGGGAGGTGGCCGTGGCACAATGACACATGCTAATGAGAAGCAGCACTGGGAAGAAAGCCATGGGGCAGAGCATGCTAGTGGATGGACCACCGCAGGGCCAGGGGCTGACCCGAGCTGCCCCTCCTCCACCAGCCACTAACCCTAACCAACACGGCTGCCACACTGCAGCCCCCCCCCCCCACCTCCCTCCCCGAAGCCTGGCTGGCAAATGGCTGGCCCTTCTTTTTTGTGTCCTGTCCATATTTTATGTCTTTGGGACTGGGCAAGCATCACCTTGATGCCGTGGGGGTCTATAAAGTTAGGTTTTAAAACCTTCAGCGAAACCTGATACTGGGAGAAAATGAAGGAGGAGATGACACTGTTCAAAAAGGACTGTACTCATCACCTTATGTAACTGGAACCCCTCTGTACCTCAATTAAAAAACAAACAACAAAACAACACCTGAACCTAATGCCAACAGAGCAGGCATGGGCTGGCAGGAGGCGAGAGGCCGGCCTAAGAGCACAGGGAAGGATACATCGCTGAAACCCAGAAGCTGGTGGACGCGCTGACAAAAAAGCAGGAGAGGCTCCACATGGCCATGGCGACAGGCGTTCTCTGCGTGAAGTTGGACAGGGACAGCATGACCCAATCCCGGACCATCGATGACTGTCCGGCGCTGTGCAGAGTCTGGAACACCTAGGCAGGAGAGAGACAGCTAAGCGGGGCCGGCACACCCTCCTGGGGCCTGAGCTGCTGCTGGTGAGGACTGGGTGGCTCTGGCGGGCGGCGGAGCCAGTGGAGCCAGCTCCACCACTGCTCCTTCCCTACCCAGTCGCCTGTACCTTGTGCACCACGGTGGCCATGAACTGCGGGTACGGCTGTTGGCTGGACAGAAACTCTCCGATGACTTTGTTCATGACATCCTGGGGCGGGAAGAAGTCGTCCAGGAACTGAGGCAGGATCCTTGCCACCACCCTGGCTTCACAAGGAAACCCCTTCCTGATCCTGGAAGGGAGGCCTCGGGTCAGAGCATCGTCCTGGGCCCGCCCAGGGCTGCCCTGCAGGGATGCTTCCCATGGGGCTTAGGCCACAGTACAGTCAGTATGAGGTCTTGAGAACAAATTGTAACATTCTGGCCCTCCCTCTGCTCTCCTCACTGGAGAGGTGAAGGCCGTCAGTGTGCTGGGCAGACCTGGGACTTCCCACCCCTTGTGGGATGGATCACAAAGAGGGATGTGAAAGTACTAGAAAAAAGCCAGCAGGAATAGCAGGAATAGCATGGGTGACATCAGAGAACACATTTTCCAGGTCCAAGTATGCTATGGACTCCTCCCCCAGCTCCTCTCTCTTCCTTCTCTTCCTTCCTTCCCTCCTTCATTTTAGTGGTATTAGGGTTTCAACTCAGGACCAGCATGCTAGGCAGGCATTCTACCATTTGAGCCGTGCCTCCAGCCTGTTTGCTCTGGTTATTTTAGTCCAGGCTGACCTCTCAAACGGCTAGGACTACAGATGTGACTCACCAGCATCTAGTTCGATGAACTTTTTTTTTTTTTTTCCTTTGGTTCATCATGGGGCTTAAACTCTGGGCCTGAGTGCTGTCCCTCAGCTCTTCAGCTCAAAGCAAGCGCTCTACCACTTGAGCCACAGCGCCACTTCCAGCCGTTTTTGCTTATATGCCCATTAATGCAAGGCAAGCACTCTACCACTGAGCCCCCTTCCCAGCCCCTCCATGAAATTTTCAACAGCCCATGTCCCAGTGCCTGGTAGCCCTGTTACCCACCGAGGCCTTTTCCTGTTCTCCAAAACCTGAAGGTTCTCTTGCCGACTCATCTCACAGACCCTGAATTCTGCCCCTTAGCGGGGGACTTTAGAGCAAGGGTAGACGCTGGGCTGTGACACTCGTGTGCCCACGAGTGCAGTGCAAGGTGGAGAAGTGCAGAGTGGCGCAGCACACGGCTGTGCCCGAGTGTGCCCGCCCGCAGACTGCGCCCAACAGTCCTCCCCCCGGGCCCCAGCAGGGTCCCCAAGGGCCCTGGGGTTGAGGGGCTGCGCCGAGCACTGAGCCATGAACTCCGTTAGGGCAGTGGCCTGGCTACGCACTGGCACGTGCCCAACTCCAAGCCTGCTCACAGGCAGCACTCTATCAATGTGTGTGCACTGGAAAGTGGCTGCAAGACTGACATCTTAAGAGTCAACATGGAAACGGGCTGGTGTCTAGAATACTTCCTCTGGCCAGAGAGGACACAGGTGAAGGTGTGCTCTAAGGACAGGCCTGATGGATTCCCATCGGCCTAACAGACCTGAGGGTGAAAGACTGGGCCTTGTCCTTGAGGAAACACTTGGTGTGGCTCCCGACGCTCTCCATAATGGGCAGGTGAAGACTGCTGCGCAGACAGGTGTACAGGGTGGAAGGCCCCCACATACTCGCCACAGCTCTCAAAGATGTTTCTGTTTGTTCTGACCTTTGCCTTTGCTGGAGCCTTTCCCAACAAAGCTGTTAGGTGCCCTGTGCTCCAGCCCACAGGCCCCGAGGGTAGGAAGGAACTTGCTTCTACCTCTCTTCACATAAGACAGCGAGCGCGAATGGGACACACACCTACACCAGTCCCACAGGTCTCTAGGAGAGGCTGCCGTGGAGTCAGCCCTACACTCCCATGTTCTGGGTCCAAAGACAACCTATCACACGAGATTCCCCAGGCCAGGCCAGGCCTGGATCAGGATCAGGGTGCCAAGAAGATGAGCAAATGAGCACAGTGGCAGGCAGCACAGGGCGACAGAGCAACCCGAATTTCTTACCTGTCAAAGAGAACAGACACGCGCTCCATAGCGACGATCACGGACTCACTGTCCGGGGCTGCAGGGCTGGGGTCCGAAGCTCTGCCTGGACTGGCTTTCTCCTTTCCTGAAATGAAGATGCTCCAAGTTGAGGCCTGAGAGGCTCATACAGAGCTTACCACATCACCAGAGGTGGTCCCAGGAAGCCAGAAGCCAGCCCAACCCCCGGCTCAGCCACAGGGCTGCAGCCAGACCCCGTGGTGTGAGCTCAGCTCAAAATCTCTCCCAAGTCTTAACACTACAGATGCCATGCCAAAGGGACCCAGCCTCGTGTCCCCAGGGAGCGGGAGCAAGGCGACGCTTACCACCCTCCCCGCCGCTCACCTGTGTACATGCAGGTGAGCATCAGGCCTAGCGCTGCCATGGCCCGGTGCGGGCTGTGCACGTTCACCCTGTCCACACTCAGCTTGACCAGGGACTCTGTGTCCAGCCGGGAGAGCTGCTCCGACAGCAGGAGGCGCTCCAGGCCGCGCAAGGCGCAGTGGTAAATGGTGGACGGGGTGGAGTCCTCGCTGCCAGTCAGCATCACTCCACACATCTGGACACGAGAAAAGGTTCATTCTCGCCACTGACTGGTGCAGCCATGCCTCCCCTCTTCAGAAGAGGCCCGGTAGAAGCTGCTTACCTGTATTATAGATGCAGAAAACTCCGGCCCCACATCTAGAGGATAGTTCTCGATTAGGTAGAACGCGGTGGCACACATCACCAGCACGTGCTGCTGGCTGTGAACGTTCACGCAGCTGAGAACAGGAGTCAGATGTCATGCTTGGTCTGTCTGCAGAGGGGACAGCCTCACCACACATTCAGCCCAACCGCAAGTCCAGAGCTATGCACCCCAGCGGCCAGCCTGCCCACTGCATCCTACCCAGCTGTCTGTAGCTGCGTGCCTCTGCATGCCTCCTGCCATGCTGTGCTCCCACAGTCCACTCCCACCCCCGAAGGAGGCCGGACACTCCTTCACATCCAGGAGGGATGGGAGCTATTTTCTCCCTGTGTGAACGTGCCACCCTGTAGTCCTCTGACCTTCGGGATCTCCATGGGCACCTGTTTGCCCCACAGCAGAGGGGCCGAGACCTGGCTGGCTAGTCTCTCAAACAAAACAGCCAGTCACCTCGCTCTCCACGCAGATGCCCACAGATGCTCCATCAACCTCTGAGGGCTGGACCGAGGCTCAGCACGTGCCACGGGCCCTCTGCTCAAGGCGCTCCCTCCTGCCACCACAAGCTTCTACCCCCCCCCGTCCTCTGTACCCCCCCGTGTCTCACTGCACACGGCACTTCTGCATCCCTGAACAAACCTGGGCCCATCTCTGGGGATCATGGAGACTGGCCAGCTGTCCATCTGCCCTGCTCATCATCCAATGAGAACCAAGTGAGACAGACCTCTTTACACCTGTGCACCACTGGCCTTGAAGACGCCTCCACAGTGCCTCCTGCCCTGTTCCAGCGCACACTCCCACTGCCTGATGGGCATCCAAATGCACCCCACTCAAACCTCACCCTGCCAGAAACTTCACCGCATCACAACAGCCTCTCACCACCTCTCAAGCTTCAATCTGTGTCCCCAGACTTGCACTGTGTCACAGCACAGCTGCGTTCTCCTCCCAGTGCCCTTATCATCTTTGCTCCCAACTCTGGCCCCTAATTCCCTCTAAGCCTGGGCTACTGGGTGAGGTGGGCTATGGCGCTAAAGAAACCTGCTCACGAAGAGCCAGGTCTTGAGGGATGGCCTGGCTCTGCTCCCGCATTCTGTGTGTACGGGGTACGCAGTGGAGCTAGGATGTCGTTGGGCTTCCCTCTGCTTCAAGACACAGATTGATGAGCTGTACACACAGCTGCTTTAGAGAGAAGGGTGAGGAAGACCAGGGCAGGCACGGGTGACTTTTCAGGGAGGAAGGGGTGTGGGGTGGGGGCCTGGTGATAAGTACAGCGGCTGTCTGTGACAGCTGGAGCTAGAAGTGGCCATGTAGAAGTGTATGCCAGGTACTAAGGAGCAGGGAAGGAAGCAAGAGTCTAACACATGTCTGTGACCTTGTGACCCACTGACCTCTATTGCTAATCCTTGGAGAATGCTCATGTGGGGTCCCGACCCTCTATTCTGTGCCCACCTGGGATCCCCACCCACCATTCCAGCGGGACCTCACAAATGCTCTGAAAGGCAAAACGTGGCCCTTTGCTTGGCTCCTGTCTAGCCCGCCGGGCCTACTCACTGGGCTGCCCCTTTGAGGTTAGACAGGAGGTAGTCGCTGACGACCGGGATGAGCTGCTTCGCGGTGTCATCCAGGAGGTCGCACTCCAGCACGTACAGGACGCCATGCAGGGCTCCGATCTGGCTGGGCAGGTGGCTGCTCCTGAGTGTGCTCTCCAGCAGACGGCTGACTGGCTCCGCCACAGCCTTGTCCTGGGCACAAACACAGACACCGGCTGCCGAGGCAGAAGGACAGCTCCGCATGCCAAGTGACCAATGTCCTTGTGGCTGAGGGCTGCCCACATCGAGGAGACCACTGGGCAGGTAGTCCTCACACTGGCAAGGCCTGTCCAGCAGAGACCCACATACAGGGCTAGTCCTTCACTAGATTAGGAAACTTAATGAGCCAGGCAGAGATGCCCGTGTAACCAGCCCTGGCCTTGGCATCTGCCCTGGTCTCCCTGGTGGGAACAGTTCCTTCTGGGGAAGGCAGCCTGCCTCCAGAGCAACTCTACCGAAAAAGAATTATGGAAGATTCTGGAAGATCACAGCTGGTTTCCTGGGCTTAGGCCACTTGACTTCTCCTCTGCAGATTCTGCTTGGGTCCCCTCAGCAATACATCTTAGCTCTGGCTCCTAGCAAAAGCCCAGGGTAGTTTATGCTAACTTGGAACAGAAGTGGGTAGACTGAATGTGGACCTGGACACCGCATGCCTGCACTTCAGATTGACTTCTTTGATGGTGCAGACAGCCTTCACAGGAAGTGAAGCGGGGGCTGGAATGGCAGGTCAGTGTTTGCAGGGAGTTCTCCTTCAGCAAACGCTGGCTGAGCCTCATCTGGTTCCACAAGAGCAACAAGAGGCCACAGCCCTCTGGTTCTCTGTGGGGTCTGTGGCTGAGGGCTCCAGGATGAAGACCGCCACTCCTTGCCAGTCCACTGCGCCTTGTCCCCTTCCTGTGTTGCCCCCACCCACACCACAGAGCTGTGGGGCACCTTCCCAAAGTGGCCTCCACCCGAGGGCCAGTCCACATCCGTGATACAATGCCGCAATCTGCTGTTGAGAGCAAGCAAAGAAAGTGACGTGCCTGGGTGCGAGAACACAGGACAGGCTGGAAGCCAGACAGAAGACAATCACCTTCAAGGAGGAGCATTTGCATACACAGAGCTGGGAATGCCCGCCCTGTGCCATCCGGCTTTAGGGCCTGTTTTTAAAAACCATTATTATTTGCTTGATGGATCTGACTTGCATTTTGCCTGGGGATCTGGAACTGAGCACAAAACCACAGCCACAATGAAAGTCAAGGCAGCAGCTAAAGCCCCCCATGGAGAAGAAAGGGCCTCCCACAAAGACACAGTTGGGCCAGCGCCCCAGGGCGCCTACTTGAAGAACAGGTTCACATGAGGGGACAGTGGGTCCCTGTCCTACCAGGGACCCCGGGACGCCTGCCCTCGCCCCTGAGCTCAGGGACCCTGGGTTCTTTGGGAAGCAAGCTCTGCCGTGTCCTGCACGTCCTTCTGCTTTGTCAGGCCATGAACAGGGTTGGTCTGGAGAAAGCCCCGCAGACAGTGGCGGCTGCGTGCTGGTGACGCTGCCACTGACCGTATTAGTACTGTTGTTGACAGGCAGGACAGTTAGGACAGCGGGGTGTGAGAGGGGCAGGGCCTGCTGAGCTTCCCAGGCCATTCCTGACAGTGGTGGCCACTAGCGCATCCAATGCACTGGTACGCTGCTACTGCTATTATAAAAAGGGATTCTAGGAAACTCGGGTATGAAGCATCATGATAATGGGCTCACGCTACGTGACAAAGCAGTTTTGGCAGTCTGGAGTCTCTTTACTGGCAGTGCCAACACCCTGTAACAAGAGGCAGCAATTTTCATGTATGTATCTGGTGTATGTACTGAGTACCATAAGGTGACATGGACATGGGACAGGAGGGCCTTGCCACTGTGGCTCGGCCCTGAAGAATGGGGTTATTCCCCTTTATCAGAAAGGCCCTGGAGCCTGCTCACCACTTCCACAATTTAAGAACACAGCTATCCCTAGATTCTGAATCTGCCAGCACCCCAGCCTTGAGAACTGTGAGCAATAAACATGTCTTACCTATAAGCTACCCCGAATTCTATAACAGCAGCATAAATGAGAAAGAAAACCATGGTGCACAGAACTACTGCAAATGCAGTGCTACTCGAACCTACGGCCGCAGGGAGGCAGACAGTCCAGGAGAAGTGCTAGGAGAGGCAGACAACATCAGAGGAGGGGAAGAGGCCCCCAGGCCACGGGAAGAAGGCAGTTCTGATCCACTGGTGCAGCTCCTGTGCCCTGCCCACCCCTGCCTCTGCGGGGTGACCTACTATGATGACACAACACAAGGACACAAGAGTCTCGGACCAGCCAGCCACTACAACGCATATCACAACGTCCTGAGGGAGACACCAACGAGGAGTCCTCTGGGCTAACCAGTCCCATAGCTCACTTGTGCTGGGGACCTGTGCTTGAGACAGACCTGTGGGAAGGAAGGGTGTGACTACACACGTCACGCTTGGCGGCAGCAGCTGCCAATCCAGAGCAAGCCTCATGCAGCTCCACACCCCGCCCCTTACCATGCCGAGCACAGCGGCTGCCTTGCAGGTGGCAGGCACCAGGTACTGAACAAGGATCTCATCTTCTGAAGGGTGCACCCTCCGCAGCTCTGTCAGCGTCAGGTACATCATCTCAAACTGGGTGCGTTCGGTGAACAAGTCTGAGACCACGAGAAGCTGGAGACACAGCACATCAGAGAAGGAAGGGGAAAGTTAAACTCCAAAGAAAACAAATGCAGTGCAATACACGATTAGTAGTAAAACTTGTTCCAATATCCAGAATAAAATATGGAATTCAGAGGGGCTCTTACAGAGAAAATAAATCAATATGGACCTAAAGGCTTAAAGACTATAAATAAAACCTGGTGACCTGATACCTTGTGAAAAATGCCTCTGCACCTCTTGCAGCTTGAGGAAGGCTTGGGCCTCAGTTGCCACCTGCATGGAGACCCTCACTTATAGGCTTCCCCCAAGAAAATGGCTGCCTGGGTCACGTTTCAAAATACTAGGCCCTGGCTGGGAAGGTGGCTCAGTGGTAGAGCGCTTGCCTTGCATGCATGAGGCCCTGGGTTCGATTCCTCAGCACCACATAAGCAAAAAGAAAAATGCCGGAAGTGGTGCTGTGGCTCAAGTGGTAGAGCGCTCGCCTTGAGCTGAAGAGCTGAGGGACAGCGCTCAGGCCCAGAGTTCAGGCCCCACAACTGGAGCCCCCCCCCCCCAAAAAAAATACTAGGCCCTCTTGCAGCCCATGCAGACAAACCCTCAAAACCCCTTGGAAGAGGGAAGTTGGTGATCATTTGTTCCAAAAACACATGCTCTGGCAACTCCTCTTTGTCTCCCTAGCTCTCCTGTCTCTATTTCTGTTTTGTTTTGTTTTTTGGCGGTTGAACTCTGGGCCTAGGCGCTGTCCCTCAGCTCTTCAGCTCAAGGCGAGCGCTCTACCACTTGAGCTACAGCGCCACTTCCAGTTTTCTGGTGGTTTATTGGAGATGAGAGTCTCATGAACTTTCCTGCCCGGGCTGGCTTTGAACCCTGATCCTCAGATCTCAGCCTCCTGAGTAGCTAGGATTACAGGCGTGAGCCACCAGTGCCCGGCTTCAAATTATTTTCAAAAATAACTTCAGATGAATGTGAGGTATTTACCATTCAATAATCTTCTTTTTGTGTTTATCTTTTGGAGGAACTTTTGTGAGGGTCCTGAGGTTTCATTCAGGGCCCAGGTGCTGCTGTTGAGCTTTTTTGCCCAAGTCCTACTGCTCTACCACCTGAGGCACAGCTGTTCTTCTAGGTTTTTTGTTTTGTTTTCTGTTTTTGTTGTTGTTTTGTTTTTGTAGTTAATTGGAGTCTCACAGACTTTCCTGCCTAGATTGGCTTCAAACTGCAATCCTCAGATCTCAGCCTCCTGAGTAGCTAGGATGACAGGCGTGAGCCACCGGCGCCCGGCTCCTGTCTCTATTTCATGCCACACCCAACACTAGATCTTAGGTGCTGACACCTGTCCTGTACATGTTCAGCGGGGCTGGGGTAAGGACATCATGGAAGCCAGGCTTCTCAAGGGACCCTTGTATGTCTGGGTACTGGAGTACTCTTGAGTACTCTTGAGTGTTATCATTACAGGCATGTATCACCATGCCCCACTTGAAAATCTATTTCCCTAAAGACTAGGAGCTGAAACAAAGTTACTTTGCCTTTCCAGCTTCAGTCTTTCCTAAGTGTATAGTGGGATTTCCTACATAGTATAGCAGTCACGAGAATTTTTCTTCTTTCTCCTGTGTGTGTGTGTATGTATGCCAGTACAGAGGTTTGAACTCAGGGCCTCATACTTGCTCAGTGTGCTTGTTTAGTTGGTGTTCTACCACTTGAGCTAAACCTCTAGTCTGGCTTTTTGTTAGTTATTTTGGAGATGGCATTTTGCAGACTATTTTTTTTTTTTTTTTTTTTGGTCATGGGGCTTGAACTCTGGGCCTGGGTGCTGTCCCTCAGCTCTTCAGCTCAAGGCTAGTGTTCTACCACTTGAGCCACAGCACCACTTCTGGCTTTTTTTGCTTATGTGGTGCTGAGGAATCGAACCCAGGGCCTCATGCATGCAAGGCAAGAACTCTACCACTGAGCCACCTTCCCAGCCCATTGCAGACTTTTCTATGGACTGACTTCAAATTGAAACCCTCCGGATCTTGGCCTCATGAGTAGCTAGTATTATAGAAACCTGGCTTAAAATTACAAAAAAAAAAAAAAAAAAGATAGGATCTCACTGTATAGCTCAGGCTAGCCTAGAACTCTAGAGCTTTCTGCCTTATCTCTTGAGTGTTATCATTACAGGCATGTGTCACCATACCCCACTTGAAAATCTATTTTAATAAGCCTAACATTTTCATTTACATTGCAAAACTATCATTATTTTAACTGGACACATCATCTATGTTTTAAAGCATTTCAGATTCGATTTCCAACCCCGTGAACAGTGATAGAGTTATGGAGGGGCCTCTGGCTCCTCATTTGTAATGACTGCTCTGACCTGGGCTCCTCAGAAGTGGGGTCAGAGCCCTAGAGGAGAGAGGCTGTGAAGGAAAGCAAGCCTACAGAACAATGGCAGTGGCCAACATTCTATACATCTGTGAGACAACCTGCTCTCGATCTGAAACAAGGAAATCTCTCCCTTTCCCAATTTCAAAAGTACCACTTTGTATCATTCTATAGCTGAGAGTGTTAGAGCTCCACAGATTCGGAGATATTACAAACCATGTGTATGGCATGTGGGGCTGTGGTGTGTGTTTAGCACATGCCTGTGTGTTGTGTGTATGTTTATGTGTGGTGCATGCATATGTGTATGGTACATGGATACCATGTACTCATACCATATATGTGTGTATCTGGCACACACAGGCAGTACACGTGAGGGGAAAGCAAGCTTACCGATCGAACCACTTCACTGATGAGGATGACCGGGGTCCTTCTGGCAGAGCTGGACGGTAGGATCCATCGGCTGTATAATTCAAGCAAAAACTGCGAGCACGAGTGGATATCGACTCCAGCCCGGTGCTTCCTGTGGAATGAGTATGCAATATGGCTGTTTTCCCCCATTCACAGATGAGGGGTTCACTTTCAGACACACCCAAAATCAGATGACTAATAAAGCCAATGTAACCTGGAGTTGACTGGAGACACGGGAGGAGATGCTGGTGCGGGGATATCAGCTTCCTCCTCCTCCTCCTCATCCCATTCCTCCTCTCTCAATGGTGTGATGTTGTTCCCCAGCCATACCGAGTGTATGGACACCTGTCACAGAAACAGGATGTTGGGGCTGGCACCTGCTGGGTGCACCTCAGCACTCCCAGAAGGGCCCACGTTTACATCGGAACAGGAACACACAGAGAGGACAGACAGCATGGCCACGAAGCCAGAATGTGGCCATGCTCCCTACAAGTCTGAGGCCTGCAGTTGATTACATTCCAACATCATTTGTCTTAGCATGGAAGCTTCTCTATAAAGCAGTGGAGGCGCCTGTCTAGACAAGCAGTGGGGCTCATGGCCCCTGCTCCAAGGCCAGCGCGTGCTCTGCGCACGGGCCTGGGGGAGGCTGTGCCCACAGAAGGCAGCAGCAGGACGCAGTGGGACAGCAGGTGGGAAGCTCTGCTGGGAAGGCGTGGCCAGCCTGGTGGAAGAGGAAACCCTTGGAAGCAACCAGTTTTTAAACTCTATTCTGATCAGAAGCTTCTGAAATGAGAATGACAGAGCAATTTGCCTAACTGGCTTACACAGAAGTAGAGGGAAAGGGAGTGGAGGAAGGGCCGCGGGCAGTGCAGCGGCTCCACGGCAGGTGCTAGGAAACTGAAGCAAGTTTTCATGGAACCCACCCAGCGTGGCACCATCTGTCTGATGCCTCGGAGGCTGGGCAGAGCCGGCCCTCACCGGGCCTCATGGGTACCAGCTGTCTCCCTACACCATCCCACTACGTGTTATGCACACCTGTGTGCTCACATGGGAAACGCCTTAAAACTTAGAATAGAGTGCAAATCAAAGGGAGAGTACAAGTTCCTTCTACCTAAGAAACTCATGTAGCTTTCCCCTTGATGCGGGACGTGGTTGTGTAGGCCTGCCTGGGGTGCGGGCACTGTGACTGACCTGGCCCAGCTTGTAGCTCATGTTGCCCAGCTCGCGCTCCGGGTTGGTCTGCAGCAGCAGCTTGTCGTGGCTGATGAGGGCACCTAAGAAGCAGCGACACAAGGCGTTGCTCTCTGCGCAGTGGCCGGCAGGGCAGACCCCAGGCTGCAGGCCTACCAGATACAACCCTGCTCCTTCCTGCCCAGGCACGTGCCCACTGCGCCATCTGTTCTCATGACTGGCAGGACAGCTGCAGCTGTGCAGAGGCCCATGGATCATATGGCTCTGTTAGTTTGTAACCTATTAAGCTGGCAGGCCCAGTGGGCAAAATGGACTCTCGTTTTATTTCTGGAAGAAGTCTAGCTAACCTCTGCTAGGTCTCATTACCCACCCTCTCTCAAAGCACATGCTCCCACTGCCTCCCAGAAGCACAGCCTTCCTCCTCCAAGCCCCCAGAGGGCCTGCCCACACTCTGCTGCCTTGTACCAAGCAAATGCTTCTTCTCATCAGCCCTACTGGCCTGTAGGTTCCTGAAGAACCAAACCTACCATTATCCAAGTCCAGTGTTCTTATAATTCAAGATCACAACAGATACTTAGGGGCACACGACATACTGCACTTCCATATGAAGGTTTTTCCAAAAACTCTTCAAGCAACTTAAAATTTACGGCACCAATGACTACTAAACACTAGGGGAGGAGAGTGTCACAAATTAAAATACTGCTTGTTCAACAACAGAAAAAGTGTATTAAGTCCCTTCTTTTAAGTCAGTGGCAAACTCCAGTGCCATGTGAGACAGGCCCAGGTGCAAGAGACGTCTATGCCACAAAGCACACAGGATGCAGGGCAGGGGGCTCATCAGGAATGCATGCCCTTGTGCTGTGCATGGGAGGCATGGGTAGTTTAGACAAACGGCTGACATTTTTTCAAACATAAGTAACCAAAGAAGAAAACAAAGCATGAGCATCTACTTTGGCTTTTAAATCCTGTGGAGGCCACCAGTCTTCCAGTCTCAGGAACTCTCCGGCTTGTCAAAAGTTGACAATGCTTCTAGTTCATTTCCAGATTTATTTCCTCAAGCCTGACTTTTTCCCGGGTGGAATGATACTTGTGAATAGGGGTGGTATACTCTGCATACAGCCTGTGCCGGTATGTGTGCCCGTACCTGTAGTAGCTGGGGACAGGGAGGGGACCGGATCCCAGGCCTGGTAAGGGTGATGGGTGGCGATGTTTTCTCTCCGAGAAACCATGGCTTGAATCTCCTGCTCTACAACCCCCCTGATCACACTCAATTTTCTCCCAAACCTAAAGGTAGAACAAAAGGTAAAAAAAACACTGTGTAAGTGAAGAGTGCCGGGCCTTTCTCTCTTCTTTGCTTTGCCTGAAGGAAGCTGAGACAGTAGTAAATGAGCCCCTGGGTGGGTTATGTTCCGGCTGTGCCCAAGTCTGTCCCCAAACACCCAGCAAGCCCCATGTCATTTCAGGGCAAAATTTCAACTTTATGGTGGTCAGAAAATCACTTTTGGATCTTCAGCAGGGCCAGACACAGTGTTGTCTTGGTTCTGATCAGGGAGGGGTGAGGCGCCAGTGCTCCTCTTGCAGTAGGGGGCGTGGCCACGGAGAGGCTCAGGCAAACCTGGTGTCGAGTGCTTTCAGGGGTTTGTTCCTCGGCTGTTGTTCCAAGCAGCTCACAGCGGGGTTGCCAGCCACAGGTACAGTCATGGCACTGAGCACCAGGGAGGTAATGGCCTGCACGGCCAGCACGTGGATCTGGGTCCTCTCCATGTCTTCCTGGAAGGACAGTTCACATGCTAATGACATCAGCCAGCAGCCACTGTGGCGTCAATGAGTGCTCACAGGCTACATGGCCTCGGAGGCTGGAGCCAATGCCCTGAGGACTGCGGAGGGGTAGGGCTTCCCATGTGCGAAGCCTTGTGCCTGCCTCAGTGCTCCAAGCATGGAGCCACACCTCCACACACCTATGTCCTAAGAGTAAAATCTAAGGGACAAGTGTCTATTTTTCAAAGAAAGGTCTTTTAACAGCCACAAAATTCCAAATGTAAACTACTAGGTAATAAACTATCCTTAAAGTCTCTCAGTAGCTTTAGAAGCTCTGCGTATGGTAATCTACTGGCACATCCAGATGGACTTAAAGACAGCCTGGGTTTGTGACGTGTGCCCCAACCCTTTATTTTAGACACTGAAAACTAACAAGAACTCAAAATGCTGTCAGGAGAGGGCAGAGTCCCACTGCCCTGTCACGTGCTATGCACCTACAGAGGAAGGACACCAGCCACAACCTGGCACTCAAACCCCAAACCGTGGGGAGGCCGGTGCTCCCTGGAATTCCGCTCAAGATCTGGTCTGGCTGGGTTGCGAGAGTCGTCTCACCACAGAGCTCAGGCTGGCCTCAAGCTGCCTCCTGAGGCCTGGACTTAAGGTGGACTCCACCCTGCGCAGCTGGTCCGCTTGCTCATTTATTTATATTTACATTTTCGTACTCTACCACTTGGCCCACACCTCTATCCTGCATTTTTTTTTTTTGTCGGTCGTGGGGCTTGAACTCTGGGCCTGGGCGCTGTCCCTCAGCTCTTCAGCTCAAGGCGAGCGCTCTACCACTTGAGCTACAGCGCCACTTCTGGTTTTCTGGTGGTTTATTGGAGATAGGAGTCTCACGGTCTCTCCTGCCCGGGCTGGCTTTGAACTGCGATCCTCAGATCTCAGCCTCCTGAGTAGCTAGGATTACAGGCGTGAGCCACCAGCGCCCGGCTATCCTGCATTTTTTAGTCATTCATTTCCTGCCCAAGCTGGCTTTAAACTCAATCCTATGATCTCAGCCTCCAGAGTAGCTAGGATTATAGGTGTGAGGCACTGATGTCAGTAGCGGTAGTTTTAGCTACTCAGGAAGGTGGTAAGAGGAGCTCTGTTTGGGAACAGCCAGGCAGAAGAGGTCTTAAGATCCTTTTTCAACTGAGCTGGGCATAGTTCCTGTCATCCTAAGCTATGTGGGAGGCTGAGACTGGGAAGATCTTGGTTCCAGGCCAGCCCAGGTGGAAAAGTTCACAAGACTTAAATCTCAAAGGAAGAAGATGAATGATCACATGCACCTGTCATCCAGCTCGAGTAAGTGCCTGAGCAGGAAGCAAGCCCTCATCTCAAAAGTAACCAGCACAAGAAAGGGCTGGGCGCATGGCTCAGTGGTACAGCTCCTGCCTCTGTTCAACCTCAGTACTGCTCCGCACAAAAGTGCCTTTAGCCAGAAGCCAGCATCACGGTGGCTTCCCAATCCGCCACACCCGAGAGGCAATGGTCTCACCTCCGGTGGGCTTTCCTCTTGCTCCAGCACAAGCGGCTGCGTCACCAGGACACCAAGGAGAGTGGCCCAAGTTTCTTCAAACTGAGTCCGACTAGTCCACCCTAGGAAGTAAGCATTCTGTTAGTTAGTCCACTCACCTCCCAACCCTCAGGGTGTTACCTACACACAGCAACACACCTTCAGTGGTTTATTTTTAGACAGGATTTTGTTTTCCCCAGGGCTGGCCTTAGACTGTGTTCCTCCTGTCTACACTTCTTAGTAGCTAGGATTACAAGATTGAACTATCACCCTCAGTTTTTTGTTTTGTTTTATTTATTTATTTTTGGGAGGGGGGGTCCGGTCGTGGGGCCTGAACCACTGTCCCTCAGCTCTTCAGCTCAAGGCTAGTGCTCTACCACTTGAGCCACAGCACCACTTCTGGCTTTTTTTGCTTATGTGGTGCTGAGGAATTGAACCCCGGGCCTCTTGCATGTGAGGCAAGCACTCTACCACTGAGCCACCTTCCCAGCCCCAAGACACAGCATCTCTTAACAGTTCTTTGTAATCTTCCTGGCAATTACAAGACACAGGGAATACTAGTCTACTTTGTCAAGAACATCAAAACACAATGAAACAACAACACATGGAAAGGAGCCACACTGCCCAAGATCACACTGTAAGTAGAAGGAGCAGCCCAGCTCAGCCCAGGTGCCTCCTGGGGTCTGCTGCATGGCAGTGACTGTGAAAGAGCATCAGAGCAGGCTAGGCCTGAGCCGGCTAGGCAGCCGCCAGGAGGCAAGAAGTCTTTCCTCAAGTCCCACCTTGAGACTGTGCTGATGGCAGCTGTCTGGCTTCATGAGCAGAACTGAGGGCCATAGACGCACACACTCCCAGGGGGTGGGCTACGTGGTAGGTGAGCTCTGTCTCAATGAAGCTGTAAAGATGAAAAGCCGAAGCCACCAATTCTTTGTCCCTGTCCAGAATATGGACCGGAAAAGCCCACGGTCTAGTTGGGCATGTTCCAGCATTCAGAGAAGCCCAACCTCTAGCTTTGCCAGAGGCTGCGTTCGGAGGTCCCTTCACTGTCTCTGTGCCACTGGCCTTGGACAGGTGGCTGCTTCTGGGGGTGGCACTTAGTGCTCCTGCTATGACGTCAGAAGAGCCACAGGATTCATATTAAGGCCACGAGGCCAGGATTGGGGGGGCGAGGACAGGGACGTTGAACACTAGGACCTCCCTGACACACTGGAAATAGAAAGAAAGGCTGATTCCGATTCAGGTAGATACACATACTGACAGACACAGTTGACAACCGGCATAAGGAAGAAAGACAAAAACAGGCGGGAGGGCTAGGAGGGCGGCTTAAGGGTTCAGCACTTCCACCTAAAGGCCTAGGTTCAATTTTCATTATCATTTCAAAAAAATAACACAACAAAACAAAGCCGCAGCAAGAGCAAAGGCAGGCTCTAGAAGAGACCAGAACGGGCCCAGGTCAGGTAGGCCACAGGAGGAAGACTAGGAACTGGCTCCAGGCAAAGACCCTGAGGATGCTGCCTGCCATCAGTCTGTAAGGAGAGGGAAGAAGAAAGCTTCTCAAGAGAATGTCACTGAGGACAGTGATAACTAAACTGTCCAGCTAAGGAAACATATCTGCTGCCAGAAACTTCTGGAATCAAAATAAGCACAAAAATCTGCAGACACCCAAGGTGCTAAGGGCAGACTCCACACGGAGCTGTCCTGGAGAGACCAGACCATGGCTCTCATCATAAAACAGCAATTCATTCTCTTTAGAAAGCATGGGAGGGCTCTCTTCGAAGATCATGCTGCCGCTTGTGAAGATGCCAAGCAAGGTACACTCCTTAGCAGTCCAGGTTGCTTTGCCCCTCCCCTCACTCCTGTCCTGGCTCCCTGGCAAAGCCAGCCTCTACCCTTCCCAACTGCTTGTCCACAAATGAGAACCCAACAGTGAGAACATCTGGAGACAATCCCTTCCACCACTGAGGCTGAGTGCATAATATGAAGATGGGGTAGGCCGCACATCAAGTCACATGCACATAAAACCCTGCAATTACATCTGCACCACACTTGGATCTACACTGCCACTAGGTTTCTGTCACCGTCACAGGCCTTGACCCTGGGGCTTCCAGAAGTGGTGCTCCAGGTCCAGGTGGTGTGTGTGTGTGTGTGTGTGTGTGTGTGTGCGTGTGTTACCCAGGGTGTTGATGCGGTAGATGAACTCTTTGAAGATTTCCTTCTCCTGGAGGAATTCCACAGGGATCTCAGGAAACACGGTGCCAAAATCCCCTCCTGGTTTGGGCGACCATCCGAGTTTCCACACCTGAGATGAGAGAATGTTGAGAGAGTGTTCTGACTGAGCCAGGTGGCAGGTGCTGACGGGTAGCCATCACATACCCCTTTTCTCTCTGTGGGTCCCACTGCTAAGCCAGCCAAAGGGCCCTTACCACTCTGACAGACTTGCCCACAGCCTGCAGTGCTGTTCCAGAACAGCCAGCCAAAGGGCCCTTACCACTCTGACAGACTTGCCCACAGCCTGCAGTGCTGTTCCAGGAGAACAGCTTCCACCCTGTGCCCAGGACCCCCTGGCCAGCATCCCCCCACTTCCCCATGCCTGGCCCTGCCTAGGCTACATCCATCACCTTCCTGTGGCACCGACTGCTGCCCACACCCCATTCAGGCTGGCTGTGCAAAGTGGGCAGACATCAGTCAGCACTCACATCCACAAATGTACGATGTGCTAATCAAGTTCTGCTTCATGTGTACTGGCAAGCCCCACTTTCCTTAGGGGCCTGGTCAAGCACTGTGCATGCACAGAGAGCAGCTGGAGATAGACTCAATGATGTAGTTCCAGTAGCAGGACCGCCAAGCTACCCTAGCTATGTCCCTCGCGGAAGATCTACAGAGACTGCTCTAGATTCCATAGCTAGGCTTTGCTATCTCTTAGGAAACTTTCCTTACATTTCTTACACCACCCCCCAAGACGTGTGGGCACTTCCGGGGGGTGAGGTGGGGGGTGGGGAGAGAACGGGGCACTTGCCATTGCTACCTCCCTGACCAGCGCACCCCAGGGAGTGAACTCAGCCCCTGCTGGAGATTTCTGTCCAGCACAGGACTGTGCAGGCAGATCCCTGCGGACCTGGCAACCATCATGACCTCAACAGTGTCTTCCTAAATGGTTTCCTCACAATCTTCCAAAGGACCAGGCGCTTACTGTCCTAGACTCACATACACCAATGGGACGGGTGAGCCCTGCCCGCTTCCTGTGCTCCTGCTCCAGGCTGGGACATCTGTGGCTCTTTATTCCATAAGCACTTTCAGCCTGCCTGGCTCTTCCTCAGAATGACCCTGTGTCTCTCAGGTACACCGAACGCTGCGTTCTAGGAGCTCACTTGTAGACTTCCACATCCACAGATGCACAGAGGCTATGACCTGGCAGGGGGCAGAAACAAGCATCCTCCCTTGCTCTGTGCTTAGGCCTTCTGCATGCTACCGCTTCCCTGCACGAGGCTGTGACTGGAAAGACATGTTCCACTGTGGTAGTTCAGAAGGCCATGAGAGAGCAGATGATGCAATTTCATGGGGCTAGGTTGGTTCAGATCCTAAGCTAGGCTCTTCCTTCTAAATCTATTCCTGTGATCCTGTTGGATAATGCCTATTTTAAGCTGCCAATTTCTAGAGAGGTTCTGCAAAACTGGTTGCAATGATATGCACAAGTATTTTCAAAAGTGACTTTTTTTTTTGGTCGGTCGTGGGGTTTGAACTCTGGGACTTGCCATTGTTCCTCAGCTCTTCAGCTCAAAGCTAGTGCTCTACCACTTGAGGCACAGTGCCACTTCCCGTTTTCTGATATTTTATTGGAGATAAAGAGTCTCATGGGACTTTCCTGCACAGGCTGGCTTTGAACCACAATCCTCAGATCTCAGCCTTCAGAGTAGCTAGGATTACAGGCGTGAGCCACCAGCAGCAGGCCAAAGGTGACTACTTCTGAAGGAAAATACTTACCATTAATTGGTTTATTTATTTGTATCATATTCTACATTAACATATCAGTGAAGATGAAATCTTATTTGGTGAAGTAATGCATCATCCTGTATTTTTACTAGCAATCACTGTACACAACTCCTAAGGCCACTAGATGGCTATCACTGCATACAACAAGACGTGTGCCACTGGATGGGAGCATGGGAACTTCATGGTTCCTTTTGAACCCAAGTATGATGTTCATGCCTATAACCCCAGCACCGGGGAGGTAGAGAGAATCATACATTCTAGGCCACCCTGGCCTACACAGTGAATTTAGCTAAAAAGAGAGATCCGTCTCCAACAACCCAGAGCTACATGTTTTATAGCTTAGTGGTAGAGCACTTGCCTAGCATATGAAAAGCTATTCCTAGCAACACAAAACAAAACAAACAAAAAAGAACAGTCTCCTACCCCACTGCCAGGATCGTGATTATTATTTTCTGATCTCCCAACTCTGGGCTGCTTGGGTGTCTTGTGCCTCTCGGTCTTAGGCAAAGAAAAGGCACTACCAGACTCACCAGTGGGGGCACACGGGTGTAGCTGTTGACAAGGGGGAGGCGGGCCAGGCTGATGACAATGTTCTTCAGCACCGCTGTGAGAAATGCGGGCACGCTGCCATTCCTCTTGTGGCCTAAGGCCAGAACTGACTGCAGAGACTCCACCATCTCGGCCACCATCTCACAGGCCACAGCCACACACCTGGGGTCTGTAAGCAATCATGTGAGAGGAGCCTGTCAAAACACACTACAACCCTGTGAAGGAGGCGCGCACCTATCCACAGCAGCTCAGTTCACCTGGGCTTCGGGCTGCTCACTGGAGGTTCAGACAGGACTATAGCAATGACCTTGAATCTGAGCCTGAGGCTCAGTTCCTTTCTTACATGCTCTCAGCAGATCAACATCTCAGCTTATCAACATCTACAAGCCATTGTGTAGCATCTCAGCTTCCAAATTGCTTCAGGACATCTGTCCCTTGCCTTTTAGCTCTCCCAGAACCTAAGCTCTAGCACCCAAAGAACCATCTGGCAATCCCTGGCCCAGGGGTGTTTCACAGGATGGGGCTCTGGATGGGAACTCCTGAAGCTGAATGCCGAGGAAAACCTGAGACCTTGGGGGAGACCCACCACTATGCACCAGCAAGGTGTCACGGACAGGGACTACTATTCACTGCGTCTGATCTACAGTATGGGATTAACTCACCACGATGCACTGGTAAATGATTAATACGTTACCCTAGGCCCTAAGATGTAATAGTTTAGGTGACTTCTTAGTCTAGAAAAGGGATTCTCCTGGGGGGAGGGGAGGGGGAGAAGGGAGACTGGGAGAGAGTGATGGAAGGGGTCACACTGCCCAAAAAGAGATGTACTCTCTACCAGACTTATCTAATTGTAACCCTTTGTACATTACCTTCATAATAACAAGTGAAACATTTTAAAAAAAGAAAGAAAAGGAATTCTTGGCTGGACATAGACGCACATACCTAGAATCCCAGCTACTAGGTAAGCAGAGATGGGAGGAATATAGTCTGAGACAAGCCTAGTCAAAAATATCAGCAAGACTCTCTCTCAAAAAATAAAACAAGGGATGGGAAGTTGGCTCAGTGGTAGAGCACTTGCCTTCCATGCATGAGACCCTGGGTTCTATTCCTCAGCACCACATAAGCAAAAAGAAAAAAGCTGGAAGTGGCGCTGTGGCTCAAGTGGTAGAGCGCTAGCCTTGAACTGAAGAGCTGAGGGACAGCGCTCAGGCCCAAAGTTCAGGCCCCACGACCAACCTCCCCCCCAAAAAAGATAAATAAAACAAAACAAAAAACTGAGGGTGATAGTTCAATCTTGTAATCCTAGCTACTAAGAGGTATAGACAGGAGGAACACAGTCCAAGGCCAGCCCTGGGGAAAACAAAATCCTGTCTAAAAATAAATCACTGAAGGTACTGTCCGCGTGGAAGAGTGCTCGCTAATTTATTAGCAAGTACAAGGCCTGTGTTGAAGCCGTGTCCCACTGAAAAAGAAGAATTCTTATAGAACTTAGTACCAGGATTGAGAAATGAGATTGATGTCAATAAGAATTGGTGTCTTAGCCGGGCGCTGGTGGCTCACGCCTGTAATCCTAGCTACTCAGGAGGCTGAGATCTGAGGATCACGGTTCAAAGCCAGCCCGGGTAGGAAAGACCGTTGAGACTCCTATCTCCAATAAACCACCAGAAAACCGGAAGTGGTGCTGTAGCTCAAGTGGTAGAGCGCTCGCCTTGAGCTGAAGAGCTGAGGGA